AGTACAGATGCATTCTAGCATTCCTCCTTTCCGGAGACGTGTATGGGTGAAAACTGGGCTAATTATCGTCGTTGAATCATATTGCCTTCATATCGTAATATCGCGTTTTACTATTTTATCGCGTACAGATATTTACGGGGTGGTCTACCGAAGCGCAGTTACGCTCTAGATAACTGAGTGCCATGGTCATGTCCCTGAAGTAAATTGAATAGTAATTTTGCCGGAATATGAGAAGGTTTTGATTAGCCGACCTATGCTTTCACTCCCCACGTCTTTCACAGTGAAAGTGCCTCAGTTGTGATCGGATCTTATTTCGTCATCAGTATTTTGATTAGGTTCTGATAGTACAATCGCAATGTCAGCGTCGCGTTCATTTACAGTACTTCCTACTGTATCAAAATCGAAGGGTTGCGCATGCAGTAGAATGACGTTTATTTGAAGAAATAAGTATTCGGGGGGGGGGGGGGGGGGTTGCGGCGATCGCCTTCTGCCTGAATGCCTACCCCCCCCCCCCCCCCCCCCCCAATTCCTCGACTCGACTTTCACCCTTCACTTGACAGAGTTGCGGTCTGCGCCGCTCTGCTCGGCTGAAAATGACGCTGCGCTACTCAAGAATAGCAGCAAATTATCACTGGTATGCAGTGACTTGCCCTGCCTAGAGGTGGCGCTCCCATCGACTTTCTCAAGTGAAGGTGGAGTTTTAGTGAAGGGGCGTTCTAGAATACGGGTGTAAGTCACCCCCCTCCTTATGCTTCGAACTCGTTTTCGCACTAGTCACTCAAGCCCGTTTCTAACAACCATGGCGGAGCAAATTGTTCCTCAGACTATTTTACGGGCAGATTTCGTAGGGTTGCTGTTTCTATTTGTGTTTTGTACTTTTAACATGTAAACGAACAGTGTAGACGCATACGCATGGACACGGTCGAGTTGCTGCATACGATGTATCTATATAATATTGTATTATTAGTTCACGTCGCTGTATGGAGAAACAAGAAAACATCGGTCTAAGATAGGGGCGCCCAGGTGTCCTATGAAAAATAGTCCCATATATATTTGTTTTAGTTCTCTGAGTTTATTACGATTAGAAAACTGATTGAAGTGAATGAGTGGTGCCCCTGCCTGTGAGCACAAATTGACCGTATTTATGCTGTGACGGGGTTCTTGTGATAATAGTTGCTGAAAACAAGAAAGTCAGGGCCCCTCTCCCTGGTTTTACTTCAAACGACCCCCCCCCCCCCCCCCCCTTTAAGGTAGTGACTATATCCGCCCCGATCGTTGTCAGAAACCGATCTGAGAGGGTCCGTAAATTTCAAGTTTCCCTTGATACAACGACAATGCCGAGCGCATAACTTGGCATCGCGAGAACCCACCGATAAATATTGCCGTGTACGTGCGGAGCCGTCTTTCTCTCCGCCACTTACTGGTGCTCAATTATAATTCTCTTGCCATTCATCTCCGTCTCTCCGCAGTTCGATGTTGCGCTGCGATAAACAAAGGGTGGACTTGGCACGCCTTGTGCGCGCTTATATTCCCGATATCAATCTCCCGGCCAGCCTGTATACATACCTGGGAGCGACCTCAGCGAGCTTGCGGACAGAACAAGCCTGCGAGCGCTCACTACAGGCTGTAAAGTCTTTGGCTGTCCTGGTTAGCGGAAAGCGAGTGGCCAATTCTTGAGCGACTGCGTAAAAACGAGTCGGGTATACGAGCCACGCGACTGGAGTGCGGTGAAGCAGCATCGGCAACATGGTTGCTAAATCGGGGAGCGCGTAGGCTTCGCTATTGCCCCTTTAATACGATTCGTTTGCATGCGTGTCTCGCCGTGGACAGCGGGAGTAACTGATTGGCCTTTACGACTTGGACTGCGTCGTGTGCAAATGAAGTCGGCCCTACTGTGCACTGCGTTCTATTTGTATATAGCTTGGAAGCGTGCCCATCTGTCATGGGTCTTTTGTCATTTCTTTTTCCAATTTCCTCCATGACAATCGTTGCTTTTTCTGTTGTGGACGGCGTGTTTGTATTCTTCAATAATGCGATGAAGCTGCATCGGTACTGATGTCGCCGTTCGCGCTTAAAGGGACACTAAAGTCAAATAAGAATTTACGTCAGAGTGAGAGCTCAATGTATGACAACATCTAAAACGACGATATTATCAACAGTGCCCTACTGACCGAGGAATTAAGATAAATGCACAAGAACACAAGTGCCGCAGTAGGACATTCTCAAAATGATCACAATGACATCAGATAGACCGCCTACAATGAATGAATAATAATCGATCTAGCTACACTAAATAAAGAGCCTTTCGTGCATCAAGAGACGTTATAAAAGGCAGCTTGTTCGGATTTGTTTGATTGATGGAAAAAGAAACCGCCTGACGTTAATATGGAGAACGGTGCAAGTGGTTCGAAAATTCGATTTTCGCGTAGTTACACTATGGGGCCATCTAGCGGCGCCATCTAGCGGGGCGCAGTTGAACTATAAACGTCTGCAATCTCTGAGCAAATGGCGGGAAATTGAACAATGGCCGTTGTTGTTACAGTGGCTTTCGATGCTTTTGGTCTGCTGCTACGAGCGCAGTAAAATCGGGCAACGTTGTGCACGGCAACAGTGACGTGAGACGGTCTGGTCGGTCCGCTTCTTGAGGCGGGTAATTGGAAGTGCGCTAACCCGATGCGAGCCACTAAAGCGTGATTTTATTTCAAAATAGGCCCTTCCTTGGCACAAAAGTAAGACTACGAGGTTTCTGGACCGCTATTTCAACAATTGACGTCGACTTAATATTGCCGCTAGTGTCCCTTTAAGCGTTGCAGAGTTGTCTGCGTCATCGAACGGTGGTTTCAGGCTACGCGCAAATCATGTCTCACCAGTTCGACAATTGATTTATTTCGCTTCTTCTGGTTATCGTTATTGGTCTGCATGTTTGACGGCTGCCTAGTTTTCCCCTGCCTTATGTGTACTTTATCAGGCAAGGCCACCGTCCATCTGCAAACTTGAATGCAAGCATAGCGTCCATATAACGAAATTCGTTATCTGACCAACTTTTCTCGGTTCGGTTATCACTCCCTTTTAAAACGTGTCTAATTCTTCGCCAGATCTATTAAAGCAGTATTGCGGTACAACTAAATGCATCCAAGTTTCCAAGAGCAAATAAGCAAAATAAAAAGAAACGTTGGGATTTTCGACGTTTGAATACGTGAGTACACATATATGTCGGTGCGTGGGTGTTTCTGACAGAGTGCGGTGGCCGAGCTCCCTCACGTCACGTGGGTGCTCCCTCACTGTGAGGAGGCACCCCTGCAAAGCAAAGCAAAGTCCTTGAAATGCAATCCTCTCCATGGCGCGCGAGATGACGATAGTTAAAGCGCGGGAACAATACGACGACACAGAGTCCTTCGTGTCCTTCTTGTCTCTGTGGCGCGAGATGAACCGCGGCGCTCGTCGAAAGCAGAAGTGCGGGTTTTGATGGTCTCCCAGTATGACACCGCCACGGTGCAGTTATCGCGTGCGCCCGCTGTTAAAATCGTGGACATGGTGGCTTGACGCCACTTGCGGGCAGTGCAGTGTCACTGGGTTTCGTTGCCTATTTAGTCACCCGCTTCGTTCCCCGCACAATCCTCTACAAGAAAATTATCAGATTCTGACGTTTTTTTTTTTGCCGTTCTCTGCGCGAATCTTCTTTTATTTATTTATTTATTTATTTATTTATTTATTTATTTATTTTTTGTCGTATCATGATGTTGCTTTAAAGATCGCTCGTAATACCTTCATGAAAGCACACACACGGGGTGTAGTGGGAAAGAAAGCTTTTATAGATTTACCACATACTATGACACGATTGAGGGTCATAAATTGTAAATCCCGATGCAGCGAACTTAGCAGTGTATCGAATTTCTGTTTTGCTCTGTTTGCTTATTCCTTTGTTCTCTCTCTTGGCGTCCGCATGCAGCTAGTCACGTGACGCGAGTGACGCCGAAGTTGTGCGCGCCCGTGTTTTACTCGCCCTGATGAATGTTCCTCGGGCACGCAACGTCTGCAGCCTCCTCGACTCGCGCGCATTCGTGAGACGCGCAGGTTCAAGCGCCCGACCCGCGCTGGGGACGACCTGCCAGGCTCCGACGCTCGTCTGCTCCCTTTAATGAACGGATGACTATCGCGGCGCTGCCGTGGGGCGGTTCACCCCTGAACCCCGAGCGGCCGGCCCGATCCTGGGACTACGAAATTCTCTTTTTACTGTGCCTTTTGAATTCCCCCTTGTGTGCGCTTACTACGCGCATTCCTTGGCTACTTCTCTACAAATATGCAGCTATGCAAACAGCGGCGACTATTTGTCCAAATATAATGGGACCTGCATTTTTCCTTGATTCGTTTGCCCTGTTGAGCGCGATTTTAGATCTAGCGCTTGGTTTTGTTTTTGAGAGGTACCTGTTTTTGACGAGTCGCACGCCTCCGATAATCTGACTGTGCCCTTCCTGTCTCGCTGTCGTTTTTAGAAAGGGGCTGGCAGTGTAGCGTGTAGTGCCCTTTTGTTGTGAACTGAATAATAATAATAATAATAATAATAATAATAATAATAATAATAATAATAATAATAATAATAATAGACGTCCATTACATTTCGTGGTATACTGTCCCAGATTTGATTTTCGAGAGAACTTCAATCTGACCCAGATAATTTCATGATGAGCCCCGTATAATATCGAACTTATCTGTGCGAACATCTTTTATAGCTCGGAAGCTTGCAGCGTCATCCCATCCTCTCATGCTATTATGCCTCTTCCCCCAATGTAAAGTGGCCACTGCGAGGTTTCTTGAGTTCTGTTCAGCTTATTTCCTGCGTATGGTCTTTCTGCTAAAAGCGAATGATCATATACCGACCCTCTCTGACAACCATTGCTTTTCACGCTTTCTGTCGCGAGATTGTATGTATACATTTTAGTGTAAGTCGCAGCGACAGTCGGTGCACCCTTTTCAACTTCGCTTCGTTCTTTTCGCTGCAGACTGGCCGAGGCGGCCCTGCAGAGTGCTGGCCTGCAGGACATGGCCTACCTGCAGCAGCAGCAGCAACAAGTGCAGCAGCAGGTCCAGCAGCAGCAGCAGCAGCGTCGACAGAGCGCCGACGCGGCGGCCGTGGCGGCGGCGCTGCAGTCTCCGTACCGTCTCAGTCCGTACATGGACCAGGTGTACAGCCCCTTCCAGGCGAGCCCGCCGCTGGCGATGCGGGTGCTCAGCCCACTCGACCATCGGGGTGAGGGCACGCTGCTTCTTCTGAGCCGCATTCTCAGTTGTCGCCTTCGGCATTCGGTCATTGGCTGGTTGCGGAATGGCGGGCAACTAGTCGCTGAAGTCATTGAACATACAAAAATATACGTCACGTGCAGCCACACTGACACCCAAAGTGATCGTCCGGCAGTAGGGCCCCCGTACTCACACGGAGCGCCGCGCTACCATACATTCTGTAATTAGCCTTCGTGAGCAGTGTGCGATCTACACCACACTATAGGCCACACGGTATGAGAGATCTTTTAATCATCACACTGGAAAGTAAACAGCTCATTATAAGACAAACATCTCCTCGGCGAGACAGAGTTAGAGCTAAACGCAGAGCATCACCTCAACACCGCACCGGTATGTGACATAACCATATAGGCCGGCAAAATTGTGGAGGTTTCTCATACTTGCGACTCAATCTGAGTCCGAGTGAGTCTATTAGCCTAGAATTAGCGTTCTCGATCATGGTGTCAAGTTACTTAACCCCAACGCACCGCGTAATATTTAAGGGCCTTTGATATAGCCACACGAGTGCAGGTTATGAGTGGTTTCAAACAAGTCATAACCTGCAGTTTCAAGGACATATTTCTTGAAATATCTCACGAAGGTATAACTCACTCGGACTCATTCAGACTCGTGGTTGGATCTGAGCGTGAGTTCGAGTAAATAGACTGATGGGTGAGTCCAACGACCTACAGACATGACTAAAGATGTCCAAGGACTTGCCCTAGCGCCTTGAGCTTGTCGCTTTGATTCACGTTTCTTGCCTGGCTCTCTTGACCTGCGTAAAGTTTAAACTTTATTATACAAAGTACAGTACACAAAGTACAGTAGACACAAGTAAAAAGACACAGGCAAAAAGGCCTGACAAGGTACCGTAACCCGTCCCAGACTATAAAGCGCAAAAAAGCAGTAATGTACACATAATTTAAATGTTTTAACAAAGAAGCAGCCGCATTTGCAATTTTTTATAAGAACTTATAAAAAAAAACGTTAGATGAACATTTTATTAAGTACAGACCTGTCTGCAAGACTGAGTTTATAGCAAACAAAGCAAGGAATATGTGAAGAAACCTAAATTTATCGAAGTTCCGCCAGATACGCGTGAATCATTGGCGCTGTCGACATTGTCGGCCAGCGGTCACGTGTAGTTTAGTGCAGAGTTTACGGCACTTCAAGAGGCAGTGTCCACACTATACCATATAATGTGTTTCTTTCCGACCCGCAATTTTGCAAAACGAGCCACTGTTGCGGTTCAGCACAGGTGGAAAGGTCGTACTATGACTGTTTCATAGAGCTGCTGTCTCGGTCACGTTTCGGCGCTGCGGCTTCTCGCCTCCATTCCGTAGCCTCGCATCGCGCAGTCGTTGGGCGCGTTGTCTTCGTCCGTCATGTTCGTCGCTGACGAGTGCCCGCGAGTCCTCATTCGAATGCCTTCTGGTGGGCCGTGTCGGCGAGCGTCGCTGCCATTCCTAGCGCGCCTTTGGGCGGATGAGAGCAGCTCTATCCCGCACCCGCTGTGCTGCCTCCGAGGAGGCACCTTCTCTGCCGCGTATTCGGACCGGCGGCGTAGCAAAAGGCGCGCGCGAGCTCAGCATCTCTAAAACAAGCGTTCCATTCGGGCTTCGCCGGCAGCACATGAGCGCGTGTCTATTTTCGGTGGAGAAGCATCGGCGCCGCCCACGGCTGATGACCGAGAGAGGCAGTTCAGTGACGCCGTTTACCAACAACGGCGCGCCGCTTGCGGGGGCGGCAAAGGCGTCCGTTTCCGTGTGTGCAGCCGGCGTGAAAATCTCGCGGACCTCGACGTCCTAGGAAAATGGCGTGATTAGCGTCTGTGCGAGCTGGTCATCTGGCATGTTGACTGGTTGCGGCAGACTGAGAGGAACGGATAAAATAAATTAAACAACATGGGGATGATGTCCTTAGTGTACTGGTGTGTCTCTTGCTTACGCTCGTCTCATATGGTAGTGTGACGACTCAGCTTCTGCGAAACGAGGTTGCTCTCATTGCGGCTTAAGTTGACCTTGTGCCCGCCAGCTTTTCTAGAATGAATGCTACTTCACCGGGAAGTGGCATTCATTCTAGAAAAGCCAGAGAACAAAAACAAAGATATGGCGGTTATTGTGTGGCATAACATTATACTGACTGAGTGGAAATCGTAGAGCGTATTGTACCGTCTGTCGGCTGTAGAAATATTATAAGATATTTCTTAGATCCCAATAACAACTGTACTTATAGGCACCGGGTGATGCGCAAGCGGCGTGAACTGCCGCGTTCACTCCCAGCGGTTATTTATTTATTCCAGTCTATAGAAGAGTAAATTGTGGGCTGTAGTGCTATTGAGTGTCTCTATATGTTCTAAGTACTTCGTAAGGTGGTATACAAAGCATTTCTGCTGTGTAGGCTCTAAACTACTTTAATTACTTCTCAACTTCCTCATTACGCCATGTGCTCAAGCTATTTAAATAACATTAGTGAAGCGTTGTTAATGAGTTAATACATAACTTAGTTGGCTGTATCCCAAGTACATTGTGTGGGTCCAATTCAGCTGATGAGATATCGTTGCCATGTACGGCAGGTCCTCAAATGTATTTTCTTTCCCCCCCCCCCCACCCCCCTCTTTCTGTCAGTAGTGGCAAAGCCACCTAGAACAGGTTCTAGGAGGCGCTGGTAGTGGGCAGACCGGGAGGGGGCGATGGTTCGTGACAGCGCCCTCCTCCTGTTATGTCAATGTATGGGGCTGCACACCCTCTCAGGTGACTTGGGGGTGCCCTCTCCCCCCACGCCTGTGCGCGCTCCTGTGGCATCTTGCAGCTTTAAGATTTTAATGAAACGGCCGCTAGTAATAATTGCGAAGTTATGAAATTCATCAAAAGTCAACAGTGATGCCTGAGCCGTAACGCAGAAGAGCCCAAGTGCCGTACTAATCTGAGACATCCTGTATGAGTTTGCGTCGTTACATGTAAGCCATCAACCGACTTCATTGTGTGAATATGCTGGCTGCGCTTGGAATCATAGCACGCGTGGCGCACGCCATTAACCAACGCGGAAGTCCTCCACCCCTGTAATATACTGTAATCGTTGTGCTGAACAGTGACTTCTTTCTAGTCGTCAACTTGTTGCGCTCAGCGGTGCTTCGGTACCGCCGTTGAATTCTGCCGAATTTCATTATCCCAGAGTATTTTTTTATTAAAGAGTATTTTTTATTATCTTTCTAATACTAAAAGTCTGACGGGTTAATCGCATGAACTCGAATTCCCCCATTTTACATGACCATGTAAGTCGATTAATTTTACTTTCATTACTCGCTGCAGTGATGTCTTTAACCACCATAGTATGCCTGCCGCTACACAAAAAGCAGAGTTGAAGGCAGCGAGAAAATGTACAATTTCCCTGATTTTTGAAGGTATACACCTTTTTTGAAAGCCCCGTATGATTGCCAAAAAGCAACGGCGGCCGTGTAGCCGTATGATATGGAAATAAGGAAAAGACAAATTCAATAAGGCCTGAATAAACATATTTTCGAGAAACAAATTATCGATCACTACTCTGAAAAAGAGGTGAACGGGCTTGTTTATTCTTGCGGGTATGTTTATAGTATATACGGCTAGCACGTTATTTCTCCGTTATTAATTCTCTATCCCGAATCGCCCCTAGCGGTCATCACTCGCGAATGCGTCTTCTCTCGCAGACGCGGTGCAACTTCTCGGAGAGACGTGCGCGAATCCCGTCGGGTGTTCAAGAGGCGGGACAAGCGCTGTGCGCGGCCGCAGCCCGTCGAGGCAACGCCCCTGCAATCGCATACATCTCGCCGGTACACCGCCGTGAGCCCGATGATTATGGGCACGCAGAATTGCGGGCTACGCGTGCTCGACGCGATCGTTTCGGCAGGAGACCCCGTTTTCTTCTTCCTCCATTTTTTTTTTGTGAGCTATAGTTCTCACAAAAAGCTCTTCAGAGTCGGCATTCGCACAGAAAAAGAAAAAAAAAAGTGGTAACCGGCCATTATAGCACCGCGATTGGCGCGACGGCTCCATTTTCACTATCACGTCATGCTCGAGCGCCGATACATTTACCCGCTGCCCCAACAGTTCGTTCGGGCTCCTTCTTTGCCCGCTGCCAGGAGAGTTACGCAGCCATTTCATTAGCATTCATTGGTGCTACTCGCTCGCGGCCGGTGCGTGAAATGTGTCTGAAGCTAAAAAAGCAGCGCTGCTAGTAATGTTTTTTTTTTTTTTTGGGCAGGGGGGGGGGGTTCAAACACTCCTTATGTAAGATCAAGAATGCATTTGTACGTCTTTGTTATATATGGATATGCAACATAGCAATATTTCAGAAGTGGCTAACCCCCTCTCTCTCTATCTACCCTGAAAACAATTGTTGCAAGTTGCGCTGAAGCAGTTTTCAAGGGACACTGAAAAGAAACGACGAATCTGTCAAGTTTGTCAAACTGCTCCTGGAACCCTCATTGCGTTAATAACCCTGTGCTTATTAATAGAAGAGGAAAGTAAGGTCAAAGATTTATTTCAGATTTTGTGGCGAAATCTTCCCGCGTAACTTCAAGCACTTCAAAGTGTATTTTTTGGTATCTTGGGGGCATTGGCCTGGCAAAATTCTTTAAAACTCGGTACGATAAGTCAGTGGCTCTCCCGTTCAGAGGACAATGCCAATGTGAGGCAATGCTGCTGTGCCTTAGAAATGCATTATTATTGTAGTGAAAGTGGGTCGAATTAAAATGAAAGGCCATTCTTTTTGGTCAGCCTTGTAAGTTGTGTTTTCCAAAAGGCTCGTGGACACAAATGTGTGGCAAATTTTGGGGCTTCTGCAGCCAAAGGGCTATATTGCTTCCTGACATATTAGGTAATCTACACCATTAAAAGAATTAAGATCAATTAAATGAGGAGGTTGTATCAATCACTAGTACCCGTATAGACTACATAAAGGGCATTAGTTTAGATGCAACTTTCTATATGCAACATTTGAAAGAATTGGCAGTTTGCTAGTCAATCTGATTGTTTCAATGTTATTAGACTGAAACTTCAGCTGCTGCCGGCTCCTCAGCTTATCTCTGCTCTGTCAACATTTGAAATATTGTATTCAGTATTCAGTATCCCTGGTTTCGAACGCACTCCCCTCTAGAGTGTGGTGCAATCAAGCTGATCATTTTCTGATAGTGTGCAGTGTTTCATTCATTAACTACATTGACAATAGTGCATGTCATTACTTACTGATCTAGTTGAATGGATGTGCCCTCACCTGCTAGTAGTATGCAGTGAACAAAGTAAGTCAGTGTTGACATCTGAACATAACTTAAACAAAATATTTCCAGCATTTTAGGGTAGTGCTTATGGGACTTGGCGACTCACTGAGTGTGAGATTATGTCTGCTATGTGTGGTCCTTTGCAGTTCGCTCGAATGAGGGTGAAATGCAGGAAGGCTTGTTTGCTTCCCATTATATCACACAATGTACAGTCTATGTATATGGCTGGTCAAATCTATTCCAAAGCTTATTGCTACAGTGTGTCTCATTTAAACTAAATCGTTGTGTCAATCGCTCAACATATCGATTGCCCACTTCTCATTTAAGATGTAGGTTTATATGTGTGCACTGATGATGACTGCCAGTGCCTGTCCAAACTGAACCCTTCCTTTTGTGTGTTGGGTCTTTTCAGGAATTCACATGGATTACATCCAACAGATGGCAGCTTTGGGCCAAAGAGGTCTCATGGACTTCCATGCAGCAAGTGCAGCTGTCACGCCGGACATTGCATTTTCGGCCGAAGGTATTGAATACGAAACAAAGACGCTTTACCAGACATGTATTTTAAGTTGTTGCGTTCATTCTTGTGACCTCCTGAATGCCGCATGTATAACATAATCGTGACAGGGTTGTTTCGTTCCTACAAGGCAGGTGGTTGCGATTTCTCAAATGGCTTCTCCCTACAGGATCTCGGCTGGCTAGTCCCCGAGCTGGAGCACGAGGCCGCAAACGGGCGCTCTCTAGCTCACCTTACTCGGAAGGCTTCGACATTGGCTCCATGATCCGGCTATCTCCCAATTCCTTGGTTTCCTTCATGAACGGATCCCGGAGTTCCAGTGCCAGTGGCTCATACGGCCACCTTTCAGCAGGTATCGTAAACTTCCTTATGATGCCTTGGGCATGTTTGGTGTGAATGGCAGACATGGTACCAGATTTTTCTCATAGATGTGCGGTCAAAATTGAAAGACCGCCATATGTAGTTAATGGTCACATCATATCGCGGATGAGTTTTTAAGAGATTGTAACCCTTCGCCAAGAGGAATATTGAGTGTACCAGCATCCGTATGATATTGCAGCGAAAGCTGTAATGAGATCACAACTCTGTTTACGCGCAGTTGCCCGCTGCTGTTGCCGCCAGTGTCCGTAATTACATAGCGAAAAAAAAAATTGCACCAATGACACAGTGGGGCTCGAACCCAGATCCACTGGGTGCCAGCCGAGTATTTTACCAGTGAGCTACGCTGGTGCTTGTGACTTGTTGGCAAACTTGCCTTAGGCAGGCTTGGTGTCGGGAAAGGAATCGCATTAATGCGACTTATAAAGCGTTCTAAAACAGCGAAAGAACAAGCAGTCGTCGCACAATGCAAATAGCATAGCGAGTGGGTCGTCCAATGCTCCAACCCATTACAAAAGCTTGTTTTTGTTCAGCTATTAACTGTGTTGCCTACCTACTTCAGGGATAATTTCTCGTCATTGTCAGCCACTCCATGAACGATTGGCATGAAATTCCTCGCAATAATTTGGCCGATACCATGATTCTCAGAAGAATGACGAAAAACGCCATAGCGAATGCCAGCCTACTACCCTAACATTTTTATTATTAATGCCGTAGTTGGCATCAAGCAAGCGTGCTTGTAGCAATTACCTAATGAGTGTTAGGAAAAGGCTCTGAAAGCCCACTCTTTTAGCTTTTGCTGTGACTGTGTTGTGCCTTCCGCGCAGGCCTGGCATTTTTTCGACACTGTGTTCACAGTCTATTGTAGATTCGTTTGAAAAAGTGTCCTCATGGTACAGAACTTCTGAGCTACATGAAGACACAGCTTCAAGAACGAAAAGCATTTCAAGGGGTGTTGCCACGTCATAAGAATAGAAATACCACTGTTGAATTCTGTTACCACTGCTCTTTGTGTGACTCCTATGACATCTGCATTTAGCACTGTGATAAGAACATGAAAGTGAACCTTCGATAGCACAACACCAATAGTAAACTGGAAACAATAAAATATTGAACAAATAGAAGAGAAACAGTGTTTAAAAATTAGAAATGGCTACTTGTGTACCTTCTTTGCTTGCGACTTGTTGTACAACGTAGTGGCCGTTATCACTTGAAGCTTTAGAGTAACTTAAATGTCCCCATGTACAGGGTTCTTCAGTTTGTCTGAAGAATTCCTTGCTAGCAGCATTTTGCACACAAGTGAAGAGTATATTAGTGGTAATTGAATAGTCATTTCTGTGCCACTGCTTTTATGTCATAATTTTTTTCTTTTTTTTCTGCATTCATATTGGAAGACTACATGGTGAGTTGTGAGAGCTCTATATGCGACTTGCTTTCAATGCTTGCTTTCTAACTGACTGCTTATTTGGTTCAGTATTTTTTTAGTTGTAGTGAAAACAATACATGCTTATGGCATTACAAAATGCCCCGCCCGCAATATAAATGGTACACACATTTAGAGTTGTATCTTCATCTTTCCCTTGGTGTTTTTCACCGTATAATGCCTACTTTGTGCTCTCCAGCAGCTATTAGACTGCTTGATGGAGCTGATTGGACAGCTATTTGTATCGACAAACTAAAGTGTGGAACACGTTTTAGCCGTAGTTACCGTGTTGTGATTATGCTCTGTAGTAAAGCAGAAGGCACATGTGCGGTACTGCCATCAGTATAATTTAGTTCATGCTACCTTTTTTGTTAGACTTTTTTTCCCTATTTACAAGAAAACGAAGACATTGCTTTTAAAAGGGTGGAGAGTGTTGTGCTGTTGTAATGTTGTGCACTGTACATGCGACTGGGGGATTCAAAAAGGAGGAAGGCAGCACAAGTTTGTGTGCTTCTGTGTCTGGCAGTTCATAACCCTATGATTTGTGGGTGTGTGAACCTAGCAGCTGATACTGGTTAGTTCTGCCCCCATAATTATTGCGCAGGCACACTTAGTCCAGCAATGAACATGGGCACACCTACCGTGGCAAGCCACCTGCAGCAACTTCATCAGCTAAACCAGTTGATGAGGCCGTTGCTGTTGCCTGGTGCTGGTGCATTTGCACCGCAGACAATCTTGCCCGCACCGGTTGTCCTGGGTACTCCGCAAGGCAAGGTTGACACCAAGGTGAGAAGGCATCTGTCATTTGTTAAAGCCACACTGCTGAAGTCGACTTTCGTCCACTCTAGCTTTAGTGAGAGTTGTCACACTTTAGTTCGTTGTATTTCTTTGCACTTGTTCTGCTGTAAATAATACTTGGCTTTTTGTATGTGACATTTGGCCTGAAGCATTGAAAATTGAAATTGCGATTTGTGTCAGTACATAGTTGTGTGTGATAGTTGATAAGTAATATTGTGCTCCTGTTGTCTAGTGCATGCGTGGAATAAGGTTTGCAGGGAAAATGAGTGTTCAATTTTGCTGCTGCCAGGCACTCTGAAGCTGCTTTCAGCTCCTTTTGTCCTCAGTATCCTTGAAAAGTGTTTATCGAAATAAAATTGTTCGAGTGGTTCACTCACTGCCCTGTCTGACTGTCCGCTCTCATGAAACTGCACAATGTATTTTTGGGTGATTAAGGATGCTGCCAGTGGTCGGGAAACAGCCAGCAACATAGTGAGCAGCACGGTGGACACTGAAGAGGCCCGGCGACGAGTCAAGAAAGAAATTGATGGTGCGTTGATGGACGATGACCGGGACGGCTCGGGGGACATGAGGGACGAACCGGGCGACTTCATCGAGACCAACTGCCACTGGAAGGAATGCACGCGTGAGTTCCCCACACAAGACGATTTGGTCAAGGTAAGTCTGTAATACTTCTAGTATGCCTTGTAAGCGGTCTGATGCAGATACCCAAGACATGCGTTCACTGTCAAGCTTTTGTAACTATAAGCACCACGATGATAAATAGCACTAAGAGACCTTACATATGAACCAGATCTTCTTTGAATGCAATGTTTAGGTTTTATTTTTACTGTGGTTCTTATGTTCTGTAAACTGACCATGTTTTTTCATGGATAACCTGAGCAACACGTACAAAATGTTCAAAGCGAATGTCTTGCTGCCGTACTGCAAATGATTTTCGTGCATGAGATGGCTTCACAACACTCTTTGATGGCAGCACAAGGAAGGTGACTTCAGTGCAGCACATGATGTTATTTTCTATTCTTATTTTTGCATCGTTTGCACTCGGGGTTCAGTTTATCTGTGGGGGGTGTGCTATACGAGAATAAGTGCAGCATCTGTAAATTCAATTGCTATTTTCTCAGAGCAGGAAAAGTGCATTTTTAGGCTTATAACAGGGCAGTTTAATGATTGCTGGCAGCAAGTACCTGAGGGCGGTAGAGGGGGCCCTACTTTGATGCCAAAATATAAAAAAACAAAACAGTAACGAAGGGTTTTGATGATTTTTATTTCTAAATGTGACTGACACTATGCTTCCTATCTAACAAAGCTATTAAACCTTCATACTAATAACATCAACTTTCTAGCAAAGTTAGTCTCAAGATAAAGCTTAAGGTCTGTAAACTTACCGGAAATTTCACCCAGCCAGACAGATATCTGTCAAAGATGTTCGCCTAAAAAACCTTCCCTCTACCCTAATCGCCCACACTCCAACTTATTCTCGGAATTTTCTGCAAAGATTGTGGGGTTTGTGTGTGAGAAAGTGCGAACGAAAATTATAGGCTTGTGTGAATATTTGAATGCTTTGAATATTCGGACAAACAGTAGAGTGTTCGAATTCGCGTTGATTCAAATTTAAATTATTGAAAATTGTGAAGTATTGGCAGTGAACGGATAGGTGTATATTAATCTGCATGCAACCATCTGTAAAGGTACTTTCACTGCAGTGTAGGAGTGCTAAGACATGAAAGCACTTGTTCAAAAGAAGTCCTCTCTGCTGCGAAGCCCCCCTTCAAATTCAAACGGGCCTTACAACATATTCTGAGCATGGTCAGAAAATGCTGCCAATCGGTGTTCGAGGCTACCGAGAACACGCGAACCATATTTTATTATCTGTGCGCTTTGTGTTGTTCTTCTCTCCTCCCGTCCCTGTTACGTACTGCTCCCCACTTCTATCTTTCATAATGAACCGCTACGAGCTAGCGCAAATGGCTGTTTTGCTACAAATATTATAGTGAAGCACTCGACCTTCAATCCACAATAACCTAATAAAGTCGGCTAAAAATTGGTCTCTTTTTTTTTGGGCAAATGACTCCACAAGCTCAAAAATCACACGTCACAGCTGTTGGCTGATTCTAGCATGGCATGCTCGGTCGTTACTGGTGCCACCACGGGAAACCGCGATTTCAGTGCGATTGTCCACGCGTAGGTGTACAATCGCACTGAAGAGTGTATTCGAAAAAAAAAAGAAAGAAAAAAACTGTGCTCAAGATCATGGGGTGCATGTGACATATTTTCTTTCTCCGTGCCATCTCTCCCTGCCTAGCTTCCAGCACTTTCGTCGAGACAAGAAGAGAGAATGCAATTGCAGCGTGTGACAAATCTTTGCAACTCCATTCGTACTAGAAGGATTCTAAAAAGTTTTGAGGCATGCACTGTGTCTAGGTGTCTCCCTTTTGTCCTTCAATTTTTTAGCGCTCCTCAGTTAATATAAAAAATTTTTGTGGCGGTGAAATCGTAGGACAATAAGCTCCTTTAGTTCATTCATTTCATGGCTACTTGAAGAAGTGTTGCAGGGCCCTTTTAAATGAACATATCGCCTTCAAATCGATTCATCATCTTTTAAAGCTTAAAAGTTTGTTATGATGCCTTATATGCTTAAATTATAATTTTAAAATTCAGATATTACAGGCTATCATTTGCATCATATAGAAATTCAAATCCTACTACTACTACACAAAGTTGTTTAGACTTCCCCTGAATGAAAAAACAAAGGAATTTGCATAGAAGCCTTTTATCAATTAAAAAAATATTGTGCAGGTTAATTAAGTCATTATAAATATGCCTATTTCTCTTTATAAGTGAGATGAAACTATTCGAATTCCATTCAATTATTCAACCCAATTCACTATTCGCTTCGAATTCGCTTCGAACCTAAAATTCACTATTCGCACAAGCCTAGAAAATTAGCATGTGAAAAATTGTGCTTAGAGGTCTTCCCTACCATCCCTACCACAAACTGTTTGGCTGTGGTGTTCTCGCACTCGTCAGCTGTTGGAGCGTACTGAGCACGGCTACCTTGTGTGCAGCACATCAACAATGACCACATCCACGGCAACAAGAAGTCTTTTGTCTGCCACTGGAAGGATTGCTCAAGAGAGGAAAAGCCATTCAAAGCACAATACATGCTGGTTGTTCACATGCGTCGCCACACAGGAGAAAAGCCTCACAAGTGCACTGTAAGTGTACCATTCTCATTTTTTTTCCACATTACTTGAGTAAAATATCATCAACTTGACACAAGCCTTTTGTCTGTATTTGAGTGCTTTTACTGTTTGAATTCACTTCACTCTGTACAAGATTTCCATAATTTAAAATCATGGAGTTGGAAACGAATGAGCTAATACGTCTTACCACATGTGGTCGTCCGAAAAAGATGGCGTTTCTGCTGTGCGAGGCTGCAATCGCGTGAAATTACTTTTACTTGCATTGCCACGAAGGCACGCTGATGATTAATATTTCTTTATGTTTACATGCATGTTATAAGGGCTTGTACAGGCTAAGAATCGCAGATTTTATAATTGCATCATATTGCTAATATTCATGCTCTACTATTCTCAATTGCTATAACTTTGCTTCAGGCCCAAGAAGTGACAGTCGCGCAAGCCAAGTGCACATAAAATGCTCTCATGAACTTCAGAAGGTTGGCTTCTAGATGAACTGGTCAAACGTCTTTGAGAAGACAACTCAGCATAGCCCAAATGAAAAAAGAAAGAAAAAAAAAAACCTGCCACATATTTCTCACTGCCTTGCAGATTTCTGCAGAACTGGTTTTTTGTTGAGGATATGCGGAGTGGCTTCGGCGTGCCTGTGTCTCAAGTTTTCAATAAGTTGCTTTTTTCCCCTCCCAACACAGTTTGAAGGTTGCTCGAAAGCCTACTCCCGCCTGGAGAACCTGAAGACACACCTGAGGTCACATACCGGTGAAAAGCCATACATGTGCGAGTTCCCCGGATGCACCAAGGCCTTCAGCAATGCCTCCGACAGGGCCAAGCACCAGAACCGTACCCATTCCAATGAGGTGTGCATTCTTGCAGGTGTTTCTTCTTTCAATGTGAAGCTTTCAAAGGAACTGTGGTGTTTCTTTAACCATATTGCAATGTGGTAGTTTTCGAATGATGTTGACAGCCCTTCAACAGGTAAGGTGGTTCAAGCTATGTATGAACCAGTAACTTATGATTTTAAATAACCGAGAAAATTGGTTGTTGAAACCAGAATTAAAACGTGTGGGTGCTTCATTTATCTATACAATGGCATGTCAACCTGACCAGCTGTGACACAGCCCACATGGCACCACAAAAGAGAAACTGGTGACGTTGGACTATGCACCGAACTTTGCCAACTCTTTGGAACTTGACATCAGTAATTAAAGGGATGATTTCAGAGCAGAATGATTGCCATTCAATTTTGTTCACCAGCTCAGGGATGTAGATACATACTATCAACAGCAAAAGTTTGTGGGCATTGGATTTACAACAAATGGGAATTTCTGTTATATCAGTGCTTCATGCTTGTAGTCAAGCTGGTGGCTGTATTGGTCGGAATGCCAAGTGCAGTATGCAACATTTCGAAATCACATTGCCAGACAAAACCAGAATTCAGCTTTGTGGAACATTTCACCTCCACCAAACTTTTGCTTTTGGGAGTACACTGTGATGTCACAAAGGCGAGGTGGCCCGCATTTAAAGGCATGATTTACAACTTGCTACCTTTAATATAATTTCAGGAAAACTAAGCGACTGGAAGTCATACAGTTTGACATGTATCACTAGACCATCGAAGAGAACATACATCGAAAATTTTAATCGAGGCGTGCAAGCACATTTTGAAGAATCAGCAGCGTCTCCCTTTTCTCCGCAGATGCTTTGATATGGTATACGAGGCATGTTATGCCATGGAGAACGTAGCAAGTGAATACTCGCAGCCTGTATAGCATGTGAACACATGTCCTTGAGTACACATGAATGTTTAACACGAAAGAGCAATCTAGAGTAAATGTGGATTAATAGAGAGTGAACCTAGATTTGGCATGCATAGAGGACATCGCTCACCTGTCAGGCAAATGATGTACCTTTGTAAGCTACATTAAATGCAATTCATATCTTGGTATTCAGTCAGAGATCTAGTCCTATCATGTAATACGCTGAATAGTGGTGCTAGCATATTTTGATAATATTTTCATATCTAGGTATTTTTCCAGATAAGGTTATGTTAAAGTACCTGCTCATGTGAGCAGTTGCACAGTTATTTCAGTGTAGACAACCTGTTTTTGGTCATGGAATGAAGTGAATCTTTGAGACCAAAAATCACAAAAAAAGGTGTTAATTTTAGAGTCCGCCTTTATTTATGCACCACCTCGTCGATTTTCATGCGTTTTAGATCAGTATTTCATCCATCGCAGCTTTTTATTGATGAACGTGTAAAAAATGCACATTTTTATCGTCACACTGTTGCCATTTTATGTTTTCTACAGCACCCATCTTGGTCGCATTCTGAATATCCGTGCTTTTTAAAAAATATTCCGCCATGCTTGTTTCATTCAACTCAGAGCTCATGCAGAAAAAAAGCCGTGCTAATAAAAAGGTTCCACCGCATGAGCATATTGGCACAGTGAGCGCACATGACTAAATTCCGGCGTTAGACTTACCAAGCCTCCCACGCCATCTGCGGCAGTGCACGCAAAGCATGCTTCATGTCGTCATTGTGTCACGTGGTTCTCGCCAATTTATGTCCCTAAAGTCTCATCCCATGCAAGCTGGCAAGAAATTCCAGCAGACATTTATTATCCTCCTCAGCAATGACTGTGCGTGTTGGCCATGATGCGCATCTGGTGTTTTTGTGAGGCAAGAACAGCACTGCTCGGTATCCTTTCAGAAACCTTATGTCTGCAAGGCTCCCGGTTGCACCAAGCGGTACACGGACCCGAGCTCACTGCGGAAGCACGTGAAGACAGTGCACGGTGCGGAGTTCTATGCCAACAAGAAGCACAAGGGCTCTGACGGTGGCCCTGGAGATGGCAGTGGGGCACTCAGAGACAGCTTGGATCCAGCTGCCAGCAGCGAGGGCAGTCCTCGTTCCGATGATGGTGCAAGCAAGCTGGCCAGCGTGTCCAGTCCCAGCGTTAAGTCTGAGGCAAGTGCCGATGCTCCAAACGCTTTGTGTGCCCCCTATATGTGGGTAGAAATGGTATTGAATAGGTTTTTTTGAATATTTGAACGATCATTACAAAATTTGAATTTCCCTCAATTTCAGATTAAATTACTGAAAATTTCAAAGTAGTATCTGCAATGAACAAAATTGTATATTAGTCCCCAATGTAATGATGGTTTCACTGCAACAGAGGGGTGCTGAGCTGCCAAACACGTATCCAGAAGAAATCTGCGCTGTCACGAAGCTCAACTCTATAGTTCAATTAACATATTGCTACGTAAAAATGACACCAGGCGTGGCTATTTTGATGCTATATATTTACATTCATGCGTATAGCATAGACTAAGATGGAGAACAGCACTCACAGCAGACAGACCAGCTCTCTTCTTTGTTGTCGTCTTCTGATCGCTGGTATGTCAGCCATGTAGCAATACAGTTGAGCCCACATATAACGGCCCCACTTAAAAGGAACTTTCGCTTAAAATGAACAATATCTGCGTGACCGTGAAAATATACATTGGTTCAATGGCACAAAATCGCACTTACAACGAACATCTCCGAGCGCCGCTGATCAATTACAGTGAATGGAGTCGGCGCTCTGCCGACTTCCTGGGAAACCTGATCAGGCATCGGCGAGGTGCCCATACATCCTTATTGTTAAACGCTGACCCTGCCTCCGTGCCGCTCTAGTGGCTGCTCTCCCTGGCCGCTTTTTGTTACCCACGCCTCTGTCCTTCGTCCCCCCCGCTATTCTGAGCTCTCCGAATCCCGTGTTTTTACACTGCCACCTATATTTCGAAAACCGGTCGGCCATCTACCCTGTTTCTCATTGCAGGTGATCGCTGTTTTTGATTGCTGGTATCGCCAGCTTGGAGTGAACAGACCATTTGCCAACATCCTCGGCCACCGACTGTATCCGATCGTCTGCATCTAGTGCACAGGCATATCCTACCCCACTCACTCTGGTTTTGTGTTTAGGACTTGCTCTCGCTTACTTTGCAAATGGCTCAGCATGCCCTCCGCACGCGTGCGGAAGCGCAAAAACGACTGTTAATTTGCGCGAAACGAATCGTGAATTATCGAAGTTGGTGAGGCCATGCAAACCCCCTGGCGCAACAAAACGATTTTTCGACCACGGCCGCCGATTCTTTGAACACCACCTCGCGCACCGATCCAGGCGGCCGTGCTTTGACTTCTGCATGCGCAGGAGTTTGCATGCGCAAGTTTTTCTACGTGCGAGTTGCACGTTTTGCGGACCTTTCAAGCAAGCTACCCAACCTGCCTTCTTCCTTTATGTTTTGGTTTTCAAGGTCGCCCTCCCGCCTCATCCTCCTCTTTCTTCACTCTATCGCAACTCCTTGCCCTTCTCTTGCAAATCTGCTCTCCTCCTCTCTTGATCACAACCCCTTCGCTGGTCTCCACCGCTTCGCTACGCCAGCCACGCCAGCTCAAATTAGTTTCATTTTCGGACTAGAAACGGGCCCAGAGCTGTTGCACGCGTTCTGGCATGTGTGTCACGTGTGCGTGTTTGGCTCACTCTTGGTGTGCGTGTGTGGTCAGGATGGCAGACTGGAGGACTTGCACGCTTTTTTCTGTCGCTCAACGAAACGTCGAAAGTAGGACCGCTTGGCTTGAGCGTAATCCGCGCGCTAGGTGCCGCGTTGCGGAGCGCTTGCTCATAACTGTTGACCACCTGGCAGCCAACTTACCACTTCTGGGGTCCCGGTATTGAGCTGTGGAGATGGTAAAAATTTTGTGGGCGGTGGTGATGGCTACATGCACGCGAAACTGTTTTCGCGAGGCCGACTTCGTCGATGCCGAGCCTGAAGCTTCTGAACAGTATCACTCCGGAAGTGATTTGTGGCAGCGCATCGTTGACTCCGACCTGGAGAGCGGATGGGGCATCTGTTGCGATGGTTTAATTACGGCTGATGATGTTGCGGACACTGCGAGACCGTGCATGGATTAGGGCATTGTGAATGAAGTACGTGGCGAGAGCGATTTGGAGGAATCGGAATGCGAGAACGACGAAACTTTGGAGCCAGTGCCTCATGTAGTTTATGCCACGGACCTCGGCAAACGAGCAGAAATAAACTCGACCGCCTATATCGCTTCTGCTCTTCGAAACACGTGCATTATGAACTTTTTTGGGCAGAAAAGTTTGTGTTTTCACTCGCAAGTTTTTTAAAAACTGTTTCATTTACTACGAACTTCAGGATACAGCGAATGGATGCCGCGTCAGGCTCAGGTTCGTTATAAGTGAGCTCGACTGTATTATCCTCACATTGATTCTTCCTTTTCTATGTTGAAAAGCTTTTTATACTGGCTTATATGCTCTAAATGTAATAAATTTTAGGACGTAGCATATTTTACAGGTTATTGCTTGCATTCTACTGAAAGTCAAATCCCGATACTATTAAAAGTTGTTTGCACTTCTCCTGAACCAAAAAAAAAAAAAAAAGCATTGTGCGAGTTAGGTCATGACAAATATGCCCATTTTCTAAATATGTGATATCCTATTCAACTCGATCTCAAAATGTTCGACCAAAATCAGAATTCGCTTTGAATTCTCCTCAAACCTGAGATTCACTATTCGCAAAAGCCTAGTATTGAACTGCAAGATCAAGATGGGAGCTGACAGATGGAAGCAATGTAGTGGAACAATCAGGGTGAACAGTGGGAATGCCTCAGGCATACTGTCGGACGTTTTCATAGGAGGCCTTCGCGAAAGATAGGTTCTCATATCAAAACGTCAACCAGCCTGTCTGAGGCACTTACATTGTTCGCCCTGATTATCCCACTAGTATTGAGCTGGAAATACAGTTAAACCCCAATAATACGTACCTGCCAAGGACGGCGGCATAGCTATACTCCGTTTCATACATCAGGTGCAACGCTGTGAAGGCTAGGCAAGTAGTCCGGAAAGAAAACACGAGGTGTTGCTCCGCGCGGTTTCGTAGTCGAGTGGTCTGACGCGTCGCTCCGGAGAGTTCACCGTAGTTTTGAAGTGCATGGGTTCGAATCCACGTGGTGCCATTTTTTTAAAAATAATTTTTGCAAGTTCAATTCGAAACCTTGTTTTTTTTTCAGTAACTTCAACTTACGTACTGACAGCTTTGATGTGCGAAGCTTCGAAAAAATTCGCGCAGGAGAGGTGGTCGAGGACGCAGAGCTGGACGCCATTTTTTCGAAGCTGCCACAACAAGTAAAAAAAAAAAAAAAAAAAAAAACGGCGGCGCGGGTCGCGCGGAGAACGAAAACCTGATACGAAAACGACAAACATAAATTACCAACTCGCATATTTGGATTGTTTATTCGACAACACAGGCTTTGTTTTTTAACCTGATGACAAATATGTATGCTTAGAAGTTTCCCGAGAAGCATTTATTGATTCTCGTACACCCCAAGCGACGCACTACTTTTTGGTCGCGGCAGTACACAGCGCAAACAAGAGCACTAGCTTTGACAGCGTTGCACATGGTGTATGAAACGGAGTATACGCACTACGCATTAACCACCAGCTACAAATTGGCATCTCCTGACATGCACCATCCCCGCCAACAAAGGAGGAAACTCAGTGCCACGAGAAATATTGCCTAATTTGCCTAAGACATGCTTTGGCAATTTAGTGCCAAAGTGCAGAAATCTCGCTGACTGTGGCACAGCCGCCCGACTACTGTGCGGTCTAGGATATGCAGCATGGTGCAGCGACGGAGCAGACACAATCTGCTGTCCGTGATGCAGTTGTTCCGCGGTCTCTTTCTAAGCGAGAACTTAAAGCAGTTTTTATTTGTTAAACACGTTACGGTCACAGAGAGCCAGATCGTTTTCTGCATTGCTAATTGCATGCAATGCTTCGCCCACTCAACGCACACTGTGACAGCCGATGCAGCAAGTAGCCTGCTGCGTCGTAGAACTTTCCATGAACAATGCGCTTTCCGCGATGCTCTAGCAGTCCTCGCAACGAACGGAGATGCGTTCTGGCTGTCACTGTATAAAATTGGACAGCATGGTTACAACAGTGCTACGCTTGCTGTACGGTGTGCGTGTTGGCATAATACAGCAAGTTTTCTCGGTGCCTGCTACCAGCAACGCTAAAGTCCGCATCAGCGAGCTGCTAGCGTTTCTGTAAAGCGGTGCACGCTTGACCATGGTCCCACATAACGAAGCGGCATCGATTGCGGAGGTCTAGTGTGGCCTGGCAGTCGCCTACTAAAAGCGAGCAGTAGGCCTAAAGTGACGCTATGCCACAAGGTGCCCGAGCAGATAACCGAGGATGCTTACTGTAATAAGACTTTTTGTCGGCGATAAGTTACACCAGCGCGTTTGTCGGTGGTCGCCATTTCGCTTTTGTTTTTTCCCCGATGACTACTCGTAATATGTCATCACCGAAATCGCACAGACGTCAGAATAACTTATCGGCTAATTTTCGCACTTATCAACAGGACGGAAAACCGTTCACGGCACATTGTGGTGCCTGCAAGTTAAGCGTTGCAGCAAAATTTTGTGGCGCCAAATTTATCGTGGTATGCAGTCAGTATGCACCAACCAGTAGGCATAAGCCTAACACTAGGGCTTAAAGGAGCACTGACATCGAATTTCAAGATCGAGATGTGCCCATCATTCAATCACTTGGTGTGCATAGGTATTTTTGGCCAAACTTGAATGGCGTCTGATGTGTTAAAGTTATTTTATTTCGATTTCGAACAGCATGGAAAAGTTAAGGAGAAAAAAAATGAAAAATAGACTGCCCTGGGACATTGCCACTAGTGCTACATGTTCGGTGTGATACATTCCACAAATACCATCCTGAGTGATGATATGCTAGTAATGATGATGTCAACGATCTCCGAGTGTGTTTGGAGCCAACTCCCAGCCATGCTCTCACTAGTAGCTCTCCTTGCTGTGTTGAAGCGTGCGTTCGATTCATCGTGTCGGACCGACTTATTTGCGTTGTGCTCCACTGTGTGTGAGTACGATCATTCAGAGCAACAGTGCGTGCCAGAATGTAGGGGGAATCGCTGCGTAGTGAGAACCTGCACGCCGAGGCACTGAAAAAGCGGAAAGTGAGGGGCGTTTTATGCCTTTCCAAGCCATGAACCTGATTGCAGCCAGTGGGTTGACTTCGTATGCGTCATTGTATAGAGAGACTGGACACCTGTCAACAACAGCTGCATTTGCTCTCTTCACTTTGCGGCGAGTTGCTACAGGGTAAATACTGTGTTGGGGAACGAGTTGAGTTTCACTGGCTGTACTAAACGTCTTCTCGAGGCTGAGGCTATTCCTGCCGTGTGCCCTGCTGTAGCTGAAAGCAGCGATTCACTCGCCAAACGTCCGCGACATGAGGTGCGTAGTTGGTGTTTCTGAGCTTCGACAGTATTGGTGGGACTATTAAATAAATATATATACATTGAATTTAACGTGGAGCTTGTCAAGCAAGGATCGTCGCGAATCGCGGTGATACCCAATTCCAGGTCGCTGTCATCATCACTTGCCGATGTTGACCGAGACGACGGCGAGGACGAAGATGTTAGTGACAGAGGCATGTCTATGCCTTCAGAGATACAGCTGGACTGTCTGTACATGCGCTCCTAGCAGACGAAACACCAGTGTGACGTCACCATTTTTTGTGAAAGCGGCATCAGCTGTGCAGCGGCCTCAACGTGGCCGCGACGTAGCGCTGCCAGCACTACAATTTAGCGAGAATTCCACGCATTTTGAAGTGCGTTCGATAGCGAATATATTAATCAATATTACTTATACTCATTCGTCACTCAGATGCGTTTTAGGTCGCTACTAGAGGGTCGATAGCTACTCATTGACGCAAAAATCTTGACATGAGTAAATTTGATGTCAGTGCTCCTTTGAGCGGTCCGCGAACGCATTATATAGTCTCTGTGAGACTTGGTCAGGGATTCGTCGCAACTATGTTTTAAACATTAGCATGCTTTAAAGCGGGTACACACTAATGAGGTTTGACTGTATTTTTGTTGTGGGGCCAGCGGGCTCCATACTATTGGATATCATTTCATAACTAAAGAACTTTTTCATTCCTTCCTGCAATCGCACAAACTGATTGAATTGAAGCAGCAGGGCTGTATCGAGACAGTTATGCTTTAAAACAAAGCAAAGAAAGACGGTAGAATTTTAGGCTCACAGATTGTTCTAGCTTTAATATATTGGGTAGCATGTAGCACAATGTAGTCAACTCTATTGTGTGTGTGTTTTGGATACAAGACTACTATCAAGAAGGTTCATGCTGAAGAAAACTCGATGCTTTAATTCGGGTGGCTGTATTTGCAGTGTCACAGCTTGTTTTTATACACAGGGTAATCATCCGTACCTGCTATAATTACAAAGTAATCATACCACTGTGCTTTGCAAAAGAGGTTAAAGCAAAAGTAATAGCTGCGACATTTTAGCATGTTCACATTGTGCCTCTTAATTTATATAAAATAGCTATGTCATTATAGTTATGTAGAGCCTGAGCTGTGGTGCATCGTAGAATGCCAATATGGTTTATTGATGCCTTTATATGTGTGCCAACCATTTAGTTCGAAGACGGCAGCCATTTTGACGTGTTGACCCTAGTTCATAAACAGAAAAAAAAAGCTTCTTTTGATTTTTCTGTAATTTTTTGCTCTTGACAATCCATCACAAAGACGAAATTCTACAAAGTATATACAGTGGAATCTCGATGATACGAATCTCACGGGGTCACGAAAAATATTCGTATTAGCCGAAATTCGTATCATCGAAACAAATAAAACTAGCTAAATTAACAAAAAGTAAAGACGTGAACTCATCCAGGCACAAGTACGTAAAAAGCATTTATTTACTTGCCTCGAGTGGGCGGTGCACTGGTCAAGAAAAAGAAGAATCTTCGGATTCTTACAAGCCATCCTCCTGTCCAGAAGTGACAAAAACTCTTCAAACAACGCCGCCGTCATCCACGCCTTTTTGTTTGCGCGATAGACGCACGGCAAACGACTCTCACGCTTGAAGCACCGGGGCTTTTCGAACTTTCCGACTACGGTCAGGTTAAGCTTTTCCGATCCGTCGGCGTTACAGCACAAGAGCACAGTAATACGCTCTTTGCTTTTTTTGCCTCCTCTGCATGCTTCGCCTTTTAAACAGAGGCTCTTTTCCGGTTGCAGGTTAAAAAAGAGACCTGCCTCATCAGCATGAAAAACATCATGAGGCTCATACTCTGCAATGAGTGACGGCAGCTTCTCTAACCAGTCGCTGACAACTGCCTCGTCAGCTTTTTTCGCTTCGCCGCAGACGCTTTTGTAAACGACGGCGTGCATAGTCTTAAAGCACTGCAGCCACCCACCTGAGGCCTGAAATCCGTGTGCTCAGTGTTGTGCTCAGTGTTGACTGTGCTCAGTGTTGACGTTGCAAGGCCTAGCTCCTTAGCCAACTCCGTCCGCTTTCTGTTGGTATCCTCATCGACCTTTCGAAGGATGTCTAATTTCTCCTTAAAGGAGAGCGCTTTTTGCTTGCGAGACATGGCTCGTTGCGACTAGGCAAAATGTCGCAAACACAAAGAACGCCGCCCGAAGCACAGCACTGCAGCCATTCCGTTCAACGCCACGCAGAGAAAGAGGAAAAGCACAACAGCAACAAAAGCCTCACCGCCCCACTTGACCCGCGCAGTCCGCCGCGTCCTCGCGTCCTCGTCGCCGCACCCAAAAAGAAAGAAAGAAAGGAAACCGTGGCCAGCGCCACCTCTAAACCTAAACCGAAATCAAAGGGCGCAAGCGGTCTTTGAGGTCTCCGATATTGCGCACGCCGGGCACCGATGCTGGAGGCCGCCACGCGCTGCTGGCAGGCGCCGTTGGCAAAATGCCAAACCGGCGGTGCAGCGCGCATTCCGGCGCGCGGCTGAGCGCTGTTCCATTTCGCGGCCGTCAGTGGGGCGGCGTTCATTCGTATCAAACGACGCGGGCAGAAAATCGATTCGTAACAAACACACTTTAGTGCATCGCAAAGTAATGGGGCTCGGCAGGGACCACAAAAAAATTCGTATCATCCGGAAATTCGTATTAGCCTTGATCGTATCATCGAGATTCCACTGTAGTATTTTGAACAGAGGATCAATCTATCTTTGCTCTAAACCACCTGTGGGTTAATTCCTTTTTCCTTGCTTTTTTTTTAGGACCAAGGCTCCCCGCAAAATGACAGCAGTCCTTGCGAAGAAAGCACCACAGATGGCCTCGGTTCATTCGATCAGGGTTCGCTGGATGCACCGATTAGTGACAACAGTGTTTCTACCACTTGCGGTCAGCTGGAGGCTCTGGACACTAACGACAATGCCTGGGATGTTGTGGACCCCGCTGATCTTGAGGTGAGGGCCAATGCTTCACCAGAGTGTTTTTGGAATAGCATCCACCGTAGCCACAGGCCTTGTCTTTTCTAAGTGACAGAGATACCCACATATGTAGCTAAGACAGAAAAGACTGTTTTGCTGCCTGTGCTTGAAGGGGCTCTTAAATAGTTTTACGATTCACCATGGAATGAATTCACTGGAAGAGTTTATTGCCTCACGAATTCAACACTGCAAAAATTTTAAGAATCTGTGCAGTGCAAGTGGAGTTACAAAGATTTGTCGCATCATGCGATTGCATTCCTCCTTCTCTCCTCCCAATGAAAAGTGCTTGAAGCTAAGCAGGGAGGGATGGTAGGGGCAAAGAGAATATGTCACGCACGCCTCGTGATTTGAGCACTTTCTTATTTTTTTTTATTTGAATGCGCGGCTTATTCAGTGTGATCACACATGCACGGGTGGACAAGTCGAGGCCTCCCGCCGTGATTTCTGTAATGACCAAGCGTGCCATGTTTAAATCAGCCAATGGCTGATAGATGGGCTTTCTACGAGTGATTTTTTGAGCATCTTCCGTCATTTGTCGAGACAAGTGAAAGCAATTTTAGCTGACTTTGATAGTTTATTTTAAATTGCGGACTGTTGCTGCACTATACTATTTGGCTCGCGTGTTGTCTGGAGCCTCTAACCGATTGGCAGCGTTTTCTGACCATGCTCAAAAAGCGTTGCAGAGCCCCTTTTAAGTAACATGATGAAGGGCTGTGTCTGTTTTTGTGAACGTTTTTCTTTATAGGTGCATTCCACAATTAGCACTGTATTCACACCACATTTTATACTAATGACCTTTAATTAGTATATATGAGAATGACAAGTTCGTTGTTTTACAGGACCTTCGTGGTGACATTGTTATCGTAGAAATGTGACATGTCCCTCCCCCTTGCCGACAGCAAAAGCCTTTAGAGCTTTGAGATTGAGTCTTATATCGTTGTTACATAGCACTGTTGATTGCGATTTAGGCAGATGCAGTTGGGAATCCTTGATTGCAATCTGCAATACACTCATACCTCATTATAGCAAAGTGGCATTGTACACAAAAAAAAGTTCGTTATATTGCAAAATTTATGAAAAAAGTATATTCTTAACACTATTGATTGCAAGATTATTTTTCATTTATATGTATACCAAGAACATCCTAAGAGTTTGTGGAGAGGGGACCCTCTAACTTGTGCCTCGGATCAATAAACATTGAGGTGACGCATGAACGCTTGTGCATCGAGATATGTGTGAATATAGTTCAGTACAAACGCAAGCGTGCACAAGGATAATGATAATTCTGACATATAAGACCATATGTCTGAAAAAAGAGGTGGAACTCAATCAGATTAACTCGAGAAATATATGTTGCGCTTAAGACCCACTTGGAATGAGATTCAGTAAAATTTTGCTCAACTCGACTGACTCGGACTCGAACTCGTGAAAATATGACTCATCCAAAATCACTCAGTCTGAGACTCGCAGCTTAATCTGAGTTTGAGTGAGGCAGCTCCTGAGTGAGTTTGCTCGACCAGTGAGTGCAAATGGAAAATTGTCATGCGGTCTTGCAAAATCGCACGACATTTTGTGATTACAAGAAGCACCGCTATTTAAGATGCAGCAGTGAAAATATTGTAGAAAAGTGTGTCTTAATAAGCAAAGGAATATATGGTATAAGGTACAGGAAAGTTTGTCATGGTATCTGCATGACAAGCTTGCCACACTTTAGAACTGCATCTCTTTTCACTACAGCACAAAATTATTAGTCTTTGCTTGGTGAGATTTTTGTATAATGGGCATAATGTGGTAAAGCATGTGGATTTTTAGTTTTTTTTCATTGCTGTACAATAGTGTGGGATTTCAAGGAAGTTGGACTCGTATGTTTCCAGGTTGACGAGTTCGCAGCAGCGATCACGTGTGCTGTAACTTCCTCTGGCAACCACACCGAAGCCGAGAGGAATGCCCACAACAGGCTCAGAGGAAAGCTGCACGCCCCATTCAAGAACATCGGAGGTGGATCATACGTACCTGGGCCACACATCAGTGAAATAGGCAAGTGATCACACTTAACAATATGGGTGGCAGCCTGAGCAGAACCTCCGAGAGGCCGAGAGAACTGGTACAAAAAAAAAAAAAAAAAAAAAAAAAAAACTTAAAATGGGTGCGTGGCCTTGAGAATTTGAAGGTATGGCAAACAAATGCAGTCTACAAGCTGTGGATTGCCAAGAATGCAATATGGGTGATTGCAGTTTGAAATGTGCCGGCACTGAGTGAACTCACAAAAAAGTGTACTGTCCGAAAAAAGTAAGATTTGAATTTTTCGAAGGGGTACTATCACAAAAATTTTGGCCTTCCATTTTTCTGCCACATTTATCTTTCCACCAGTGACTCTCAGCCTCACAGGAATTGACTGTTCTTTATCTGCATCTTAGATTGCCTCTGTCTTTCAACTGGCTTCAAATTTGACCACAGTGGGAAAAGCAAACTTAATGTGATTTCCTTAATTAACTAGGATGACTAATCATTATCTAAGTCTTTGCTCCATGATTGCAATGCACAGCTAGAACAGTTCAGAACACTGTGAACAGACTAGTAATGTACTATCCGTAATGCATCATTATGAGCAAGGAAGTCAAAGTATTTGAATAATGCATCCTTAGTCTCCAGACATGATAAAAGTTGAGGCATTATCTTCTGCGACGATTCCTGAGGTATCGCCAGTGCAGGAAACAGTTCAAGAGCTGGAAGAAACATTAATTACTGGAAACCAACAGAACATATTCTGCGATAAAGCTTTAAAATGAGTGGAAACTAACACGACATGTTCTGCGATAAAGTTTTGAAATGCGTGGTTCGAATTAGGCAAACTAAGGTAAACCTGAAGGGCCATCTTTTCAAAATTCCTGTCCTCATATTAAGTAAACTTCAGGTCACTTATTGTGCTGAGTGGTCAACTTCGCAAAAAATGATATAGTGCCATCATACCAGTCATGGACAAGCAGCAGACCAAATTAGAAATAGAAAGCATCATTCCAAACTGTAATTTGAGATATGCAATTTTAATGTTATTGTTTCGATTCGTTAGCAGCCCTATAGTTTTAGTGTTTGCGTGAAGCTTGCATGATATCACACTGTGCATGCTCATTCAATCTATATACAAATTATGCTCGCTTCTTTGCCACAGGTGGGCATCTGCATCGACATGGTGGGAGTCGGCAGCCATATGGAGGTGACAACCAGAAAAGCATGGCCAGCTTTTGCAACTCCGCAAACACATTTCAAACTCCAGGTAACATATCGATAAGCTTATGTGTTATTCCATCTGACACCTGCTGAATGCAGTTGACAGATCACTTGCCAAGCATTTAGGATAGTTCATGGTAGTTCGCCTTCTTGTATGGTCCTTTCTTTTTCTTGGCATTTGGTTTGGTGCTCTTTGCATGCCCATTATACTACTTTAACAAGTCACTTGGTGCCCTTTTTCACTGTGGTATAAAAACAACAAACAAGTAAAAAACAGATTCACCTTTGCCCTTCCCTTTTACCCTCGAATGCAGAGATGGTAACTTGGTTCGCACCTTCGACTACCGATTTCTAGCGTTTTCAACTTATCAGCGCATTCTCGAAAAGCTCTGATTTGTACCATGAATATTGTCGCTAAAAACAAGATAATGCAACATGTTTTTCTATATTACTGTATGATGGCCTTCGGTTGTATATTTACGAGACTTTAGGAAAAATCGAAGATGGGGTTTCTTCATTAATCAAATTTCAGTGGGGTACACTTTTGCCAATATGAGAATTTTGAGGCAATATATAGAAATTTACATTTGCCCTATGGCAGCAATGATTTATGTACCTAATGAACACACTATATCCTTAAACATGTCAAGTTTGAAAACACTGCTTGCATTACTTTCGGAGAAAAAAAAAAAAGGGGGAATACGTAACTTATTTTAAACTGTCGCAAAATTAGACATTTTTAAAAGATATTTTCTTAAGGTCTGCAAACTTGAAACCGTATGAATTCATTCTTCATAAGACACGCATTTCAGGTAAAAAATATCTTCCTTGAAACAATATTATTTGTTTTTTTATAGCATCTGCAATTTTCGAAAATGACAGGTGACGAAATTGGTGCCTCCGTGTTGGTGAAGTTTAATATTATTTTTCTCGTAAGTTATGCCGTTAATCATAAAACGAAGTTGACTTTCGGGCTACCTGGTGAGAGGTGCACGAAATATAAAATACAGTGGAATCTCGATGATACGATCATGGCTAATACGAATTTCCGGATGATACGAACTTTTTTGTGGTCCCTGCCGAGCCCCATTACTTTGCGATGCGCTAGAGTATGTTTGTTACGAATCAATTTTCTGCCCGCGTTGTTTTGATACGAATAAACGCCACCCTACTGACGGCCGCGAAATGGAACAGCGCTGAGCCGCGCGCCGGAATGCGCGCTGCACCGCCGGTTTGGCATTTTGCCAACGGTGCCTGCCAGCAGCGCGTGGCGGCCTCCAACATTGGCGCGCGGCGTGCGCAATATCGGAGACCTGAGAGACCGCTTGCGCCCTTTGATTTCGGTTTAGGTTTAGAGATGGCGCTGGCCACGGTTTCCTTTCTTTCTCTTTTTTTGGTTGCGGCGGCGAGGACGCGACGACGCGGCGGACTGTGCGGGTCAAGTGGGGCGGTGACGCTTTTGTTGCTGTTGTGCTTTTCCTCTTTCTCTGCGTGGCGTTGGACGGAATGGCTGCAGTGCTGTGCTTCGGGCCGCGTTCTTTGTGTTTGCAACATTTTGCCTAGTCGCAACGAGCTATGTCTCGCAAGCGATAAGCGCTCTCCTTCAAGGAGAAATTAGACATCCTTCGAAAGGTCGATGAGGATACTAAGAGAAAGCGGACGGAGTTGGCTAAGGAGCTAGGCCTTGCAACGTCAACACTGAGCACAGTTGTTGGACAGCGAGAGACCATAATGAAAAACGTGCTTTCGTTCAACGTCAACGCAAAGCAAGTGAAGACCGCTCAGCACGTGAAACTTGAAGAGACTCTCCTGACTTGGTTTAAAGAGGTAACCGCAGCTGGCGTGAATATCAATGGCAAAGTTTTGCGGGAGAAAGCCGACGAGTTTGCACTTGCTCTGCATATCGACGGATTTCAGGCCTCAGATGGGTGGCTGCAGCGCTTTAAGACTAGGCACGCTCTCGTTTACAAAAGCGTCTGTGGCGAAGCGAAAAAAACTGACGAGGCAGTTGTCAGCGACTGGTTAGAGAATCTGCCGTCACTCATTGCAGAGTATGAGCCTCGTGATGTTTTTAATGCTGATGAGGCAGGTCTCTTTTTTAACCTGCAACCCGAAAAGAGCCTCTGTCTAAGAGGCGAAGCATGCAGAGGAGGCAAAAAAAGCAAACAGCGTATTACTGTGCTCTTGTGCTGTAACGCCGACGGATCGGAAAAGCTTAAGCTGACCGTAGTCGGAAAGTTCGAAAAGCCCCGGTGCTTCAAGCGCGAGAGTCGTTCGCCGTGCGTCTATCGCGCAAACAAAAAGGCGTGGATGACTGCGGCGTTGTTCGAAGAGTTTTTGTCACTCCTGGACAGGAGGATGGCTTGTAAGAATCGGAAAATTCTTCTTTTTCTTGACCAGTGCACCGCCCACTCGAGGCAAGTAAATAAATGCTTTTTACGTACTTGTGCCTGGATGAGTTCACGTCTGACTCTTTGTTAATTTAGCTAGTTTTATTTGTTTCGATGATACGAATTTCGGCTAATACGAATATTTTTCGTGACCCCGTGAGATTCGCATCATCTAGATTCCACTGTACTCAATGAAATCTAAAATATCATCTTTTGAACCCCTGTCGATCTCTCGTGGAATCACCCAAGTGCTGGGAACAACATTGCCCTCAGTCGAATTTTGTGTTGCCGGATGCAGGAAGAGGCACAGGGTCAGGGAACCCGTGATAGAAGCACATTCTTTTTTGTGTGGAATTTTTCGAATTGTTGTGCTGCAAGCGATGCCTGTCTGGGCGAGAAACAGCACCCTAGATGGGACGAAAGGATAGACGAGGCACACAGACACAGCACTGTGTCAATTTTGTACGAAAAGAGACAAAATCGTGTTCTGGCAAAAAAGAAATAGCTTTTGCGCTTTTGGAGCACTTCAGCGTCGTCACCACCGGGGCTATTAATACGCACGTGTGTGCAGTCGACACATCCTGTAACTCCAGGGAACTCGGCCACTTCATAAAAGTGTCGTATAACTTTAGGAAGCACCGCCGGCTGCTGAAAGCGCACCAACATTGTGTACAGGTGCTTTGCGATGAGTAGCGTAACTTTTCTGACTGCACGACACACGGCACACTCTCGACTACGGAATGTGGACGAGATTCGCGGTGAATGTTTGGAATCTGCCAGTGTCGTAGTACCTAGGCATCATCAGTAGCTGTAATATGGGAGGCACAGGTTGTCCTCGGATGTCCCCACTTTCATGGAGCGGCAACATAGCCAGCAGCTGCCACACGGCATTCTTCGTGAATCTGTATCGAGCATAGAATTGTTCCTTGTCGTATAACTCCATCATATTTCCTCGGTCACGTAAAGCGGGTCGAGGAATCTTTGGCAGGCAGCGCACCTCAGAAAATGCCACGCTTATAGGGTGGCAAGCAATCTGAAAAACAGCCAACCTTTGCGCGACATCTATTAGAGAGGTAGCCCTGTCAGAATAACACATGAAGTTGCGTTCAAGCTAGTCCCGCAGCTGACTTGAAACTTGTCCTGACTTTGACCGAGTCAAGTTGCCTTGAAGTCGTCCGCAAGTTTGAGAACGATTTATGGCGAGCGGCTAGGCTGTCTTGAGTGAAGAAGGAGTCAAGTATGTGTAAAGTAACATCTCTGCATACGGGGGTGAGCGCTTTCATTTTTTCGCAATACCATCACCTGGTGGCTTGATGGTGCAATAGAATGGAGCTGCTTTTAAGGCAGCTCCACCTACTGTTACACACAAGAGATAAGTGGGCACTTTGAGAATATATAGAATTGTCCTACCAAAGACTTACTGATGTGTAAGTATACTGCATGCTCACAGTCTCAATGGATTGTGTTTTCACCAATTGTTCAACTTTGTTTAAAGTGCAGATGGGGGCTTAAAATGCTTTTGTTGTTCCTTAACATGGAAGAGTGGAAATGACTATGGGGCAACGATAAGTGACTGAATAATGTTAACGTTCTACAATTAATGTTCATCTGCTCTTGCATTCCCCAAAGTATGCACAGTGTGCTCTCTATAAAACACTTCACCTTTTTGAATAATAGTACAGGAATCATCACAAGCTACATTGCGATGGTTTTGTCGTAAAAGTGTTAAAAAAGCACTGCATTATAACTGCAAAGCATTTTATGTCGTGGCACTTGCTTTGTGGTTGTATAAATTTAAGCACTGTTTCACAGTCTTGCAGCTTCAAACAGTGTCCTAGTTACTGAGGCATTTGAGTGAAAAGAGTTCTTTTATTGACAGGTTGTGCTCCTCGTCAAACTACCCTGCTGATAAGTCGCAGAGGTAGCAGCACAAGCACAGTGAGCTCCTTCTACAGCAGCATGTGCTCCGATGCAAGCCCCCAGGCCTCAACTGGAAGTGAAGCGTCGCGCAGTCTTGCAACCAATTCATCATGTGACCCAATAGCCAGTGGCTGTTCTTCAAGAAGGGCACATGATCCAATCAGCAGCCTTTCTACTCACTTTAGAAGGGTCCACATACCAACCTTGGCGAATACTTCCAACCTAGTTGTTCAACCGCAGAATGTGGCCATGACCGCCAGCATGATGCTGCCACCCACAACACCGCAAAGCATGGAGGTGCTGCATGAGCAAGAGGACTCTTCCAGCATGCAGTCGCAATTGGGATCACCTGGCTCACAGAACACGCAGATTGGTGGTTGTGCTCAAGGAGTTGCTGGTAGTACAAGTTGTGCACCTGCTACAGTCTCTGAGTACAGTGGTGACCAACAGCACCCAAATGAGGGAGCGATGCTCAACTCTGAAACTGACAAGGCGGTAGAGGAACTGGATGACCTGGTGCTGCCAGATGAGCTAATAAACTACCTTGCACAGAGGGAGCGGCCAGGCTCTGCCATGAGTCAAGCTGTGTCTAGTGTGAGCCAGTATGATGAGATCCGCAACAAGAACTGTGGAGCAACCACTGCAAGTGGCTCGCTAAGCAATGGTCACACATGTTACTCCAACTCCTCCTTTCCTAAGAATAGCCATCAGCCCCATGTGGCCAACGTCCAGCCAAAAGCTGCGTGTTCCATGGGCGCCCAGCCTAAGAGTTGTGGCAGTAGCACGTGTCCACAGTCAGCAGAGCCCTCTGTGGCCATGGGGGCCAACCAACCATTCTATCAAGCTAGTCAGGAAGCTGTTTCAGGTTGCCAACCTGCCAGCAGCTGGCATATGCAGCAGCACCAGCATGAAAACATTGCCCAGCAACCTCATCCTGTTCCAATGGGTCACGCGTCACAGGCTCCAACGCCACACCAAGTTCCTCACCACACCACTCACCATTCAGGCATGCAACAGGCTCACCACATGTCGCATAGTAATGTGACGCACCAAGGGCCACATTCTTCAGGTCATCATAACCACCAGAATTTGCATCACATGCACCAACAAGCTCCTAGCTATGGCCCAGAGCAGCACCCTTACAGACAGGCTCAGCATACAGGCCACATGCGCCAGCCAGGATATTCAGCCTCAGTACCTTATCATCAACAGCAGCAGCAGCAGCAACAATCAAGCTACCACCCTACTTACAACATGCCGCCTCCTAGTTACTGTGATAGAAATCAATATGGGCACGGTGGCAGTAACCAGCAGAGATTTGCTACCACTGGGCAAATGAACAACCATAGTTGTTCCGGCAGTTATAATCATGCTCGAGACCAGCCAGTAAACTGCTGTCATCAGACAACTCACCCACTGCCCCAGGACTGTCACACGCACCAAGCAATTGGCCACGTGCCAGTTCCAGTGTATGCCCAAATGCAGCCACCCCCACCACCACCGCCTTACCAACCGAACCACTGCCAGCAGCAACATACCAGCATGCCACAACAAGGTCCTCGCTCTCCCAATCATCATCACAGCAGCACCTGGTACTGTCAGTGTGGTGCAACAAGCTGCAAAAATGTACCGATTCTTCAGCAACCCCCAATGCACGGCACCTACCAAATGAACCACGCACAACCATATCAGGAAAGTGGAAATGCCTACAGGCCAATGCCTAATAGTGCTGTCCACATGCCTCAGCCAAACCTTATCGTGCAGCCGCAGCAGGTCTGTCACCCATCCGCATCACCCATGAGTGCTCCACTTCCACCATCACCAGCGCCCCAGACACCCTCAGTGCAGTCCGCTGTGGCCACATATGGAACATCTCACTCCAGTAGCTGCCAGGGAGCTTGCATGCACAGATCTCAAAGCAACCAGTGCAGCAGTTACCCACCCTCTGCTAGGAACAGTTGTTTGGAGAAACATGCTCAACACAGCCAGGCTAGCCAGAGCCTCAGCAACCACAAATGCTCAAGGTGCAGCAACTGCTCAAGATCGCAGCCCGAGATTCAGTGTCGTAGTGTTAGCCAGTCCTCGCGTGCGTCCATGCCTCCAGACACCTATCGGCGAACCTTGGAATACGTGCAGCAGTGTCAGCAGCTCGCGGCCACGAACGCCATCGAAGGTCCTGGAGTTCAGGACTTCCCACAGGTGCCTGTTCAGCCTGCAGCAGCAGTTTCACAGCCTCAAACTGTGCAGCCAGCCATTCCCGCTGGCCAACCAGTGGGCGGAGCGCAAGCAAGTGCAGTGCTGCAGCCGCTAGACACAGCAGCTCCGGCGGGTATGGTTCTGTCTCCTGGCTGTAACAAGGTGACCAGCACTACGGACAAGTCAGAAGTGCAGCAGTGCCAGTTGGTGGAAGGACTGCAGCCCCACCAGCAGCAGAGCTCCACGACGAAAAACTGTAGCACAGTGCCATCGCCTAAGGTCTCACCAAACAAAGGAGCTGTCCAAAAGAACCCTGTGAACTCTGTTAGGGCTTTGAGTGCCAGAGAGAACAGACCGCATCCACATTCCCCTCTCCTGTGCACCAGCAACATGGTTATCAATGACATGAGTGCAACATTGTCATCCCTGATGCAAGAGACTAAGTGCCTGCAGCTGCTGCAGTGAAGCGCTTTCTGACTGTCGCGCGGGCAAGTAAGGACAGGTTTTCTAAGAGTGGTTCCAGATGTGAATGCAAGGTGCAGCTTTGGTGTTAAAAACTGAATCTTGTGGTTTCTCATGAACTCAGGAATAACTTTTGCACTTGTAAATAGCTGTACAAAGGTTTGTGCATCTAGTACGTTTGTTGTACCATTCAATCATGTTTCATTGCCGTCTTATCTTATTGCCACCATGTTGCGACCTTGTCACCAATGTTGCCTTATTATAGTGCAATTTTTATGTCACAAATTTTCAACAGCAGCTCATAAATTATTTGTTTTCTGTCCTGATGATGAAGTAGCCTTATTAAAGCTGCATTGTTTGTCCCACTCACTTTGTCTCTGTTTTCTTCAATTGTGAAGCTGCTGATGGCAGTCCAGAAACAGTTGTGACATCTACTGTGCAACATAGTGCCGAAGTTAGTATGCGAGTTGTTTTGTATTGCAACGTCAAGGGATGTTGGTAGAATGCTTGAGCATTACGCATAGCAGTGATCTCTCAAATGGAAACACAATGTTTATTGAATATTGTAGACAACATGTTGGCTTGAGAAGATATTTAATAGAGTAGCATCACATCACATTAAGCTACCAGTTTTTATCTAGATGAAAGCCCACAAAAAGAACCCAACTATAGGGTGCACTGATCCATCGCTCCAGTGTGACTTGGAAGCTTTAATGCCTCAGGATTACATATTGTTTCACAGACGCTGTAGGTACTGCTGTACTGTGTGACCTTAAGACGCATGTTGATTTTAGGGGCATTGTAATTTATTTTAGGTTCACGGAACACTAGCTATCTCTAAAGAATTCATGAAACTGCTGTTCAACATGACTCTGAAATTGGAAAATCATAGCCTATTTTTCTTGTATGGGAAAGCATTTCTATGCCAGAACAAAGATGGACCAGTGTGGCTGTACATTCCCCTGCGACTTAGGATAAGTAAGTGATCTGTGCTGCTTTGCTTGGTTAGCATGCAGCCATTTGAACGTAACTACTACTGGACTTATGTTTATAGCACGAGTCATATATACTGAAGGTAGAGGCACTGAAATGCAATATCTGTGATGTAAGTGTTGACACAATAAAATGTTGCATTTTAGAGATCTTCTGTCACAATGGCTCTGTACCAGGCAATGTTTCTATGTACAGGTTTCTACACAAGTGCTTGCAAGTTTGCTGCTATTTCTTAGAACATCAGAGACAATCAGTGCTGTGCGAAATTGTCATAAGAAATTCATAAATATCTCAAACAAATACATGTATGTACCACCCAGGTGAAAATATTCAACTGGTTTTAAGGGTGAAGCTTCTTATGGTTTAGGCCAATCCCTCGTTCCTCTGATGTACCTAGTAACGCCTCCTTTATACAATAGATGGTGCTTTTTCATAGAGATGGACGGACAGACGGTTCACCCCACTCATCGTTATTCACTCTGTGGATATGCTGTGATTTTTTTAGCTGGTGTTAAATGGGAACAGCTACATCTGGCTGGGACCAGCTCCTTCCAGTTGGTCCACAACAGGGAACATTCCACTCTGGAAATGGAACCAGCTGGAGCTACTGGGTCCAAAATAGAACCAGCATGTACTGATTGCTCGCGAAACGGAACCAGCTAGAACGAGTTAGTGTGAAAGTGCAACAACTTGGAACCAGTTCACATGAAAACCAGCAAGAACAACTTGGTCTGGAAATGAAATAAACCAAGCGGCCTGGAACTAGAAGAGGTAGCTGACCTAGCAGGGACCGTTTTGTTTGTACAGAACCAGCTACACCCCAGGGTAATCGCACCCATGAATAAATGTGGGAATTCATTGGGGTTCAAATGGAAGAAATTAGCTCTTGCAAGTGATCTTTGGGTGCACTTGTCAATTGGGTATTGCAACATGAACCATGTTCTCATTTTTTGGAAGCCATACATGTGAGCCTTAACAGAGGAAAAGGAAATTCAGTCCTAACAGTCGGTCTGTATCTCTTGCCCTGAAGGTTTTTTGCCGTAGGTTAAAAAATTTGAGCACTGTCCTAAACAGTATGCTTGCTGATTGCACCAGGTTTTGTTATTCAATATTTTAAGCCAAACACAGTGCTTCTTACAGCGTATAGAGTGAAAAGAATGGTGCTACATCGTCTTTGTTTAGGCCAAGGATATTTTTGTCTCCAATTTGCCCGAAAACACCGAGCGCATCGATAAAGCACGGGTGGCTGGGGACAGTATCACGAGTCCAACGGAATTCCGTCTAGTCGGGGACAAACATGGTGCAAAATAACAAACACGCCGACAAAGGTAAAATACAAAAAAATTGAAACGACGTTCCGGCTCCCTACACAGGAGCCTCGCTCACAGTGACCGGAAATGCTGTAGTGCGCTCTTATGTGGTTGCACTGTGATGATTGTCGTAGGTGTGCCTGTTGCTGCCCAAGTCTGAAGAATTTGGAGAATAGTGGAAGAAGGGAAGTGTATACGTTATGCAAAAATTAATAGCCCACGTTTAAACTTTAGGTTTCATATAGTCAACATTGAAATGTTTTTTTTTTCTTGAGTTCAGGAAGATTTGAAACTTCATCTAGAAATGCTAGCTACGGTGTTCCGAGTTTCGCAACTCGTTACAAACACGATTCCGCGACAACAGAGCTGTCTGTGTGATATGCTAGTATGAATGTGACAATTTCAAGCATCCTGTTTGTACTTGGAATAAGAGCGCAAACAACAGAAAACTAACCATGAAAAATACTTGCGTGATCTATCCAGTGGGTGCGCGTATGTTCTCCAGACAGTTGTGCTGCATCAGTTCTATGGCAACTCTACGAGAGATAAAGTAATTTTCGCATCCCTTTTGGAGTCCCATTGAATCCTGACCGCAAAAAAAAAAAAAAGCCACAACATATCTAGGGAGTCGATGGTGACAAGTGGGCGCGAAGCTCTGGGGGTACATCGGTAAGCCGCGAAACCCACTAACAGTCATTCCACAGTTTCGAGGAGGCTGTCCTAATGTACTTTCACGACAGAAAGCGTGAGGAACGCGTGTGGTTTGCCCAGCTGGCGAATCATGGCAAAGATATCCTGGCAGTATTGCACCGTGTTGGGTACGCCCCGCATAAAGGCCAGGTCTCGGTTGAGCACTTTGTGATTTTTTTTTTTTGCAACGTACTTGATCTTGTGTCTTCTCGTTATACTCGTTAAACCAAGGAATAATTCATGAAACAGAGGTAAGCGTAAGAACTTGCGTCTGTTTTCAAAAAGGGGCCATACTGAAGTACTCCTGATTTCTAAAAATCTTTTACAAAAGTCATAATCATATGTGGCGAAACAGGCCGCTCTAAGCTGCACACGTTCTAAAGCGTTGATGTTCCGGTTAGTGAAAGGGTCCCAAGTGCTACACCCATACCCCAGAGTGAGCATGCATTCGAGATATAGAGGGTTTATTTCAGGCTGGCGGGTGCTTGTTTAAAGTTACCTCGCAAGAAGTTTAATGCGTTGCTGGCCTTTCTTAAGATGTAATCAATTTGTGCATTCCAAGTATGGTTGCTGGAAAAAATTACTCCTAGGTACTTATAATCTGTCACTAGTTATAGCTGTGTTGTATTCATGACATAGCTTGTGATCAGGGATGCAATTTGTTCGTGAATCTTAAGAGGTTGTATTTAACTGGTTGAGTGTCACGTTCCAAATTGAACACGAAGACATGACTTTGTTGAGGTCATTTTTTGGCTGTTGACTGTCTGATTCACTTGAAATTTCACGGTAGATACAGCAGTCATCTGCATATAGCCTCACACGGCATGACAAGTGTTCAGTGATATCATTAATGAATATTAAAAAAAAAGCAGAGGCCCTAAGACGAACCACAGTGACACACCTGATAAAACCGAGACATCAGAAGAGCGAACACCTCCAAGTATAACGCGTTGGTTTCTATCTAGCAGGTACGCTACTAACCACTTCAGGGGGGCATTTGGCAAATTGAGACTGGTCGACGTTTGTAGCAACAGGGTATGAGAGTACGTTATCGAATGCCTTCTGAAAGTCTAAAAAGATGCAGTCAACCTGAGTGGAGTTAATAAACGCTGCAATGTCATGACAAATTTCTATCAGCTTAATGTCACAAGAAAAATGAAGCTATGTTCTTGAAGGTGTGCCATTAAATTTTTATGAATAACATATTCGAATGTTTTGCAAGCAATGCTTGTGGGTGAAATTGGCCGGTAGTTAGATGTTCTTGTTTGTAAACCATTTTTGTGAATCGGAAAAACATCTGCAGTTTTCCAGTCACAAGGTAGAAGGCTTACTTGAAGATATATCTTAAATAACAGTGTTAGGAAAGGGGCGACAGAAAATGCACAGTTTTTTAGAACGATATTTGAAATAAAGTCAGGACAGGTAGCCGAGTAGACGTTAATCTTCCGCAGCAGTAATGCGATACTATCTTCAGATATCTCTATTTCCCTCATCTCTGTGAGCTCTCTGACGTCATGTGATTTAGGAACCACGCCTTTTGTCTGTGAAAACTCAGAATGAAAATAAGAAATGAAGGCTTCTGCTTTCGCCATGATATCTGCACCGTAGGTTTTTCCATCCATGACGTCAGAGATAGCGCCACAAAAGTTTCTTTTGCTCTTAACATATTTTCACAATTCCTTTACATTAATTTTACTTTGTCTCCAAGAGTGCAAAGGAAATTTTTGGGTGCACTACGCATCGACCTCGCGAGTGTTTTGCATATTTTCCTCATTTTTACGCACAATGTGGGATTCGGCGAGCGGCAGTGCTTACGACTCTATTTTTTCTGTTTATCAACGTACGGATTTCTTTAGTAATCCACGGTTTGTTTCTTGGAAGTGGGAAGTAACATGACGCGGGGGAATGTATGTTTTTGTTAAGGGCAATATTTAGTTTCAAAAAGATCCAAAATACATTTATTTCTAGGCGTGAACTGTTGGCTACAAACTGGGGGAAAAAGTGTCTAGTTCACATGATATTGTCGTGTAATCGCCTTTTTCATTAAAAAAATACCTTGCGACGGTGCGCAGAGCGACGGTTCTTAGTGAAATGAAGTGAAATGTACTTTATTTGGTTCTGGAGAACTGGTCAGACACCCCTCTAAGAGGGGTCTACCGCAGTTGCTGGCCGCGTCCACGACGGGACTAGAAGACCGTGGCCCTCCGCCCGTTCGCAGGCCTCCTGGACTGCCGAGTTTGGACTGAGAGTTCGGGGCTTTTAAGAGCCCTCTCCAAGTCTTCTTCTGTGCTGAACTTTTCGCCATGTAACGCCGGGCACTGCCAGAGCTTGTGAGCCAGTGTGCAGTTATGTGCTTCCTACTAGGGTATCCTGGAG